TCTCGATGATCTTTCTCTGATATCCTGGTATAGGTTGAACACCCTTAACATGAAGCTTAACTTTTGTATCAATTCAGATTTTTGGATTAGTGCTGCTCAATCAGTAAAGACCAAGTAAATATTCCAAACCTCTGGAAAGCTAAGATCTGCAGCATGTCTGGTCCCAAGCATGTCAGATAAGGAATTGTCAACCTGTATTTCCTGGTTAGGTGGATGGCCTTCTCTTTGCTCCCCACCACCACATGCTGTTTCCCATGGATGGTTCCCCAAGATATTTCCACCACACGTCTGTATCATACTATCAACCTGCCTGCCCCATTTCCTGTTAGCCTTAGCAAGAATGACAACATTGTCACAAAGCATCCACATTCACACTCTGGCTTCTTGTCCAACCGCTCATTTTCTCCAGTTCCACCACAGCTTGTATTTCCAGACCAGGTCACTATCATAGACTTCCTGATTCTCAACACCCCACTTTCTGACCACACCTTCCTTGCCTTTCCAAGTCCCTGGGTCCCCCAGACTCACTGTACAGCTTTTAGCCTACTAAGACCTCAGTCCATTGACTTCCTTACAACCTAAACTAATCCCTCAGAGGAACCGCCTGTAGGTCCTCCTGCCCAGCCTAGCTTCTAAGGTGCATCGTTCTAACAGCTCCCGAGAAAACTTCACTCCTTGTGCCTAGGTTCCCTCTGGATTCTGGCAAAACCACACCCCTAGATAAAGCCTAAACTTGACCTTCTTTATGGCTGAACTTGAGCAGAATTTTGCTGTAGGCAAATCATGCATGGAAGCAGATCAAGTTAACTTAAATTTAGTATTACAAACCTCAAAACACCACCAAGGCGGGCCAATGTTAGGTTCAGCACTGTGCTATGCAGGAAGAACAGAAATATTGTCTTGTTAATAATTTTTAAATGCTTTTTCATTAAGCTCAGTGTAGCCTGCAGACAATGGGAGACACTATGCCTTTTCCATCCCCAGTTTTCCAAGAGTTTTATTGTTAATTAGTTGAATTTTAATTATAAATGGGTATTGTTTTTAAATGCTTTTTCTGAATCTACTGCGATATTTTAGTGGCTATTCTACTACTGTTATGAATAGGTTTTTAAAATGTTAAATCATCTTTATATGCATTATACATGCTTATTTCAACTGATTTTTCTTTATTCACCTTTTCAATATACAAATACACAATACTGCTAAGATTTGCTAAGTCTTTAGCATTTTGGTATTTATGTTAATTTGTGAAACTGAGCTATAATTTTCTTCTCATAATTGTCTTTGTCCTATTTTTGGTTCAAGATCATGAACATTTCCTAAAATCAACTGGGGAGATTTCTTCACTGCTTTGGACTCTTTTGTATAAAGATTATATATTCCATTTAAATTTAATAAGGCTTACATGAAAAACATCAAGATCTGATGTTAAACTAAGGATGAACTTGCAAACATTCATTTCTTTAATAATTATTGAATTTTGGCAATTTTCAAATTTATTGACATCTTGTTGTCCCTGTTACAGTTTTACTATATTTTTTTATCTCTAGGTGCATGTTATTGGCACATTTTATTCAAAAATTTCAGCTATGCCTTTTCTATCTTTTTATTTTCTTGATCAGTCTGATGAGAAGTTTGTGTGCTGTATTAATCTTTTCAATGAACTGGGTTTGGGTTTTACTAATCCTCTCCATGGTTTTCTTGGTTTTTATTTTATTTCAAATTTTAAACTTATTACCCATTTCTAGTTGCTTTGGACTTCTGTACTGGTCTTTTTGCTAATTTTTTTGAATAATGTCTTAAATGATTTTCCCCCTCTGCTTCTACTTATATTTGAGAATCAACTTGTCAATTATAAGAAAAAACCTGTTGGGTCTTGGAGAGTGGGGGTCTGAATCCCTTCACTAACTTAGGGAGAACTGACATTTTTATGTTGTCAGACCCTTCATAGGTCCTTGATTTCATAGACACTGAGCAGAGTTGCAGCTTTTAGACTAAGATTTCTTATATCACCGAACACCTAGTTACTGCTATTAGCTTTACAAAAATTCTAAGTCTTTTCCAAAATATTTTTGAAATCTATAACAGCAATCATAATGATCCTGCTCCCGGATTAATTCATATTGCCCGAGGTGGATCCAGGAGCGGTGAACACAGGTTCCTCTGGGGACACTGCCCCAAGGAAGAGCCCAGTAACAAAGCAGAACCACACTCTGAACCCAGTAATTAGGAGAGCTCGGAAAATCAGCAAGGGAATTCTAAACAGCACCTGGAGGCAGAAAAGCAACCTAGAGCAAAGAACAAAGCAAATTGCAACTTCGAACCTGGGTACCCAGGAGGATGGGAGTGGAGGGGAGGGGACTCTCACTCCCTGGAAAGGGTGGGTGGGAAAGAAGCACCAACTCCATGGAAGCAGCAGACCAGCGTCCTAAAGGAGGCTTCCTTCCTTCCAGGCTGGGGAGCTGACTGGTCCAAGAGCAACTGCTCTGCTCCAAAGAAGGAACCTGCACTGGGCTTTCCCAACCCCCAGAAACCACCACTAGTCACCATCCTAGTGGCTGCTATGACAGCCACCAACCACTAGTCACCATCCTGCCTAGGGGCCACCAGCTGGCTCCCCGACACCACCAAAAGCCTTGGACCCGTGTGCACCTGACAAGACAGAACAGCCCCCTTCATGTCCTAAACTCCAGGACTAGTCTGCCAGAGCCACCAGCCAAGAGTCCCACCCAAGATTGCCCCGTGGGATAAGGAAGTTCTTTCCCCCGCCCCTCATCACAGTCCTGGCTCCTCTGTGCCTGTCCTGTGGCTACTGGGGAAGGTCCACATCCAGCTGCTCCAGGGCCACACCTAAAGGAAGGACTATCGTATGATCCAGGAGTCCCAGTACTGGGTGTATTTCCAGAGATGAAATCATTATACCAAAATACTTGCACTCTCCCATATTCACTGCAGCACTGTTCACAATAGCTAAAATGTGAAATTGATCCACCTACCCATGATGGGTGAATCGATATAGAAATATATATATCATGGAATAATATATGGATATAAAAAAGACCAAAATCTATCCATTTGCAGTGACATGATCACACTGGAAATCACTGTTAAGTAAAATTAAGTCAGACACAGAAAGACAAATACTACATGCTATTGTTCATTTGTGGAAACTAAAGAGTCCATCTTATAGAATAGAATAGAATAGAATAGAATAGAATAGAATAGAATAGTGTTAACTAGAGACTGGGGAGGGTGATGTGGGGGGAAAACAGGAAAGGAAAACAAATAAGGTGCACCAAACGCAGGGAAAAGAAATTAGTTCTGGTTTTCTATTGCGCAGTAGGGTAATTATTAGTTAAAACAATCTATGATACATCTTGGATGATTAGAAAAATATGGAATTCCCAGCATATGAATGATTAACATTTGAAGAATGGAAATGCTTATTAACCAGATTTGTTCATTATACATTGTACATATGTCCTTAAGTACCACACTGAACACCATAAAGATGTACACATATTATGTCCAAATACAATATTTTTAATTTTAAAAAGTAATATTATACTGGATTCCTGCCATCAAACCAACTTTTTATTCCTTTAGTAAACTGCTAAATTCTGTTCACCAATATCTTCCTTTGTATTTCGACTCAATTATTTTAAGTGATACTGTCCTGTGCTTCTCTGTAATTTTCATTGGGCATTGGTATGTAAATGCAAGGTTCATAAAAAGAATTAGGAAATTTTTATTCTTGAATGTGCTGGGGTAGTTTCAACAGCACTAAAATGATCCTTCTTCCAAGGACTAGAGAATTCCTCTGTGATTGAGTCTGGGCCCTATACACACAGTGGGTTCTTCTTTGACAATTTGTTATATTTCTTTTATGAAACTTTCCATCCATTTTGTTACATTGTCTTTTCCTGGAAAATTCTTTTTCTTATCAAAACTTGGATAATCTGAAAGCTAAAATGTTAACAAATAAACTCTTTTTTCCCCTTAACTTACGTGTCCTCCCTCTGAGTCTTTTTCTCTCATGGGCAACACCATATATCTAATGACCGAACGCAGAAATCTAGGTGTAATGTTTAATTCTCCTCCTTTACCTATTGCTATCATCTATCAGTAATTCATTAATTCTAGCTTCAAAATATAATAGTATCTGGAATTTTTCCATTCTCATCATACCATCGTCTCCAGCTTATGACCACCATCTTGGTCCTCAAAAGAACTATAGTTGGGGCCTCCTCTCCTGTTCTTTACTCCTCCAATTAATTTTCAATATAGCAGCTCAAATTATTTTCTTAAAATAAAACTCAGATTGCATTACCCTCACCCAATGCCTTTGCTCAAAACACAGGCACATTTTCCATCACCATTAGTGTAAAATTCAAACTCTTCAACATGGCCAATGAGGGAGGCTACACCGAGTCTATCAGGCTTACAACTTCATCAGTTGACTGTCTCACTTATATTCACTGCTGCACAAATGTGTCATGTTCTCACCCACCTACCCTTTATTGCTTTATAATGTTCACTTTTAAAGTCCAATTCCTTATCCTCAAAAAAAAAAAAACTTCACCTTTAACATCACTTCCTTAGCGAGACCCCTGATAGCCCTACCTTAACTTGATATTCCCACCATTGCTTTCTACCAATGAGCGAGAACTTGTCAGAATTTCTCAGAATATTCAGTAAACTTGTGGTTATTTTGTTTACTTATTTTTTCCTGACTTCTCTCAAGGAATTTTTTAGTAGGGGCAGGAGCATGTCTGTGTGTTAACCACTGTATCTCCGTGTCTACCACAGGGTTTGATGCCGAGCAGGGCTCAATTACAAAAACTGAATGAATAAACAATGCAGGCTAAAAGGAATAACTTCTAGGAAGGAGGAAGCTCAGCTGCAGAAATGTAATATGCAAAAGTGTTAGAGTATCTTTGGTGATTGTTACCTTCCACCAAAATTCATGTGCACTGAAAAGTGTAAATCCTGGTACCTACCCGAGGGATGCAATAGCAAAACCAAGCTTTGATTCTCCTTAGGAAGGCTGGATTGGGTTAAGCCTGGAAGAAATGGATTCATCTTTTTTATTATATTCCTATTAGGCATTTTAAAAACAAAAACATGCATCTATATACATAAATACATCACAGCTGTTCTGCAGATCATTATATTACTTGATAATGCGTGAAGGTCAATGGCACCTAGGATTATCACCATAAGATTAATATTTTCACTTGAGTCTATCTTATTCATTGTCTCTGTCAATGCCATCAGCCCACAAAATACATGAGAAGTATTTTATGACCACTATTCAAAGCTTTGAGCCCCAGATTCTTGTAGCTCTAAGCTTAAGGCTGAATTAATCTAGTTAGAGGATATTCTTGTATTTCCCCAGAAAAACATTTCATCCATCACTGGGGTGAAAACATGGCCAAGGACAGACACTACACACCTGTGTGATCTTGGCTGAGCGAATTAACCTCTCCGCCTCACAGAGCTGTTGCACATTGTGCTCCCAGCCCAGAGCTGGTGTGCAGTGAGCACTTACTGAGAGCTAAAGGAATCCCGGTTACCCCTTGTCTGCAAACCAAGGAGCTGTTTCCTTGGGTCTTTGGAAGAGAAGAGAATAAAATCAAAATCCTAGGAAAGTCTACTTAGAAGAGGTCCTGCGGATACATTCCAAATTCACCCAGGGGGCTGTTACCAAGGGGCGATGAATGCAAATATGAATATCTATTCAGGTTAATTGAAGAGAGAATTGCCCAAAATTTGGGATTTAGTCAAAATAAATGGAGACTAGGGGATATAACCTTTAACGGTTAATGCAGCATTGCTCTATAACAGCAGATCTCAAAGCACTTCTAGGGAAGCCCTAAGAAAACAAAAGTTCTATGAGGTCAAAACTGTTTCTGATAATAATGTAAAGATTAAGAAATTATTTGCTTTTAAAAATTCTTACTCTTTCACAAATATACAGTGGAATTTCAGTCACAATTAATTGCATTCAAAAGCAGGAGAATCCAGCTGCCTTCTATTAAACCAAACATTAAAGATATACAAACATAAAACATTGCTACTCTTCCACACATTTGATAAAATATAATTTTCATTAACATGCATTTCAATATGTAAAGATTATTTTTATTTTTAAAACGTATATTTAAATTGTAATGTGGAAAATATTCACAGATATAAGCCTTGGAAGCAAAAGTACCTTGGGAACACTCAATGAATGTTAAGTGTGTAAGAGGCCCTGATTCCAAGAAGTTCAAGGAAAATGCAACCAACCTTGGCTGTTCAGTAAAGACGTTTTAAAACGATTATCACCTTTGACCATGTACAGTGCTACATAGAGGGAGATGTGTGTAAGAGGATTTGGAAATTGGTCCTTACAGTCATGGTTATTAATGTGTTCGTTGGGATAAATAGTAGGATGGACAATAAGGTTGGTTTTCTGTTTTATTGTTTTGAGACAGGGTCTTGCTATATAGTCCAGGCTGGCGTTGAATTCCTGATCTACCTGCCTCTGCTTCCCAAATTCTGGGACTACTGGTGTGCACATGACTTGGATAACAAATTCTAAAATAATTTTTTACACTGAAATATACAGCATGAACAGAATATTATCTGTCCTTGAACCATCAGCCTTAGATTTCTATGAAAGAAGCCAATTCTCAAATGGTAGGTAAAATGTTAGCCATTACAAATTTATATAGCCACGCTTCTGCTTCCTCAGGTGGGATGAGAATGCCAGATTTTCCCCAAAAGTAGAGGAGCAAAAGACACCACTCTCCATTCTCCCCCCTTATGCTCCAGAAGATGAAATGATGCTCCAAATGCAGAGAAATAGAAGCTTCAAGATGTACTAATTACAGTGAGGGAAACATGAATCAGGGCAAACACATTTGTTTTTTTTTTTAAAAAATACATGTAACATATATATATATATATAAACAAAATATAAGGAATAGTGTATCAAGAAGATACAGTACACATTCAGTAAAGTGTTTAGGTAGAAAACTACTTTTCTCAAAATATAATCATTTAATTTTTAAAATACTGCTTAAAATTAAAAAACAGAAATTCAGATAATTCTGTTATGCTTTTCAAAATGTACTCTTCCTGACTGCTGTCCTTAGCCATGCTCTGTCCTCAGAGAGGTGCCTTGGAAGTGGCCAGTCTGAAAAGATGCGGCTCTTCAGACACTTTTGTGAGTTTTACCAACACCAATGCCACATACTCTAGCAAACACATTACCTCATACATCAACAAAAACTCTTCTAAAAAATACTTTTAAAAAGTACCTCAGCACTTGCAGATCACAGAATGATTTCAGATCATCCGACTGTTTTTCCCAAAATTCCTAAAATTAAACAAAAGCTTTGTTTTAAGGGAACTTATTGTTCCCTTAAAAAGGTCGCTTAAATCACAGAGAACATTCCAAATAAAAGTGACTTACCAGAACATCCTTCTCAAGGTGTTTCAGAGCCTGAATATCTTTCTCAAGGTTGCTCAACTGTTGAAGAACAAAATTGTGGAAGTTCTCTAATTTGTTCAGTCTGATAAATGTAAAAAGCAACCAATTTCAGTGGGATTGTTTGGGTATGACAAAAGACACTCATAATTAATCCTCTTATTCTAAGAGTACTTCATGTTATTCACCAGACATTTCTTGCATTAAGAACAAGTAGGTGTTGGGCTGGGGATTTAGCTCAATGGTTCTGCCACCTGCCTCACAAGCAGAAGGTCCTGAGTTTGAACCCAATGATGCAAACTCATCTGGTCTGCAATAGCAGCCCACAGGAAGCTGGTATTTGAACATGATTCGTGGTAGAGAATAGGGCAGATGGCTCCAGGGAAGAGGAGACAGAGGGCTCCCCATTCCTTCTACCTTCTCTCCTTTCTCTGGCCTTAAGTCAGCCCTGAAAGCTGTGGTCAAGAATGGACTTGGGCACTGTTTTTCCATTTCTGTGTTTTAGTTCTAAAATTTATGATAGTTGTGTAAGTTGCTCATCTCTTTGTTTGCTAAAGGTCTCTCTTCTTCACTAGGCCAAGCATTCAATGAAGACAAGAGCTGCTACAGCTTTGCAGCTATAGTTTGGATGTTGAGCATCCCCCAAAGGCCTGTGTTCAAGGCTTAGTACTCATAGCTGCACTACTAGGAGGCTGCACAACCTTTAGGGAGCATTAGGGGAGGAGGTTAGGTCATTGTGGGAATATTCTCAAAGGAGACAATGAGACCTGGACTCCTTTTTTGTGTGTGTGTGCACACTTCCTGGCCATGAAGTGAGTGCTTTTGCTCCATGATGCAGGTCTGCCATGCTGTGCTGTCCTACCATGTCCCAAAGTAATGGGGTCAATGGATCCTGTACTAAAACCTCCAAAACTGAAAGGCAAAATAAACATTTTCTCTTTATAAGTTGACTGTCTCAGTTATTTGTTATAGTGACAGGAAGCTGTTCAACACTCTACATTGAACACAGAGCCTGGCACCCAGCGTTACTGTGTGTATTTGCTGAGTGAATACATGCATGGGTGGAAACCCCTGAGACATAACAGGAGTTCCCCAATTTTAAAGTCCATCATGGGCTTGTTTGGACAATCAATTGACACTACGTTTATAAAAATTTGCAAACTATTACAAATTTATGTTCAAATAATATATTCTACCCTAAACAGCTTTCTATTTCAACTAAGCAAACTGACTTACCATCCCTTCCTTCCCATCTTAATTTTCTCCAACAAGAAATAATCTCTATACTCACTTTCCCTGTGCCATTCAAATCTTTTGTTTCTAAAACCTCATCCAAGGAGGACTTCCATTATAATTTTCTGGATTAATTATAATCATTACAGAAATTCATCCCTCCACTCTCCTTTCCCATCCTTCACATCTCTCTGAAATGTGAGCACCCTGGTACTTCTTGCTATATAGTCATAAGGAGGGGGATATGTGTCTGTATTTTCTTGTCATGTTATAAACATAAAATTTACCATTTTAACCATTTTAGGTGCGATTCAGTGGCATTGAGTACATTCACAAGGTTCTAAATCTATCCATCCTCTCTACTTCCATATTTATCCATCTGTGCCCTGTCTTCCCAAGTGGCTTATAAACTTTTTAAGAAGAATATTTTGGATAATACAATGGTAGACAAAGAAGATGGTTAAAAAATACATTTACTTCAATCTTTCATCTTATGAAGAAAGAACCAGAAACCCTAAAAGGTGAACAGAAGTATCAAATCTCACATCTTCTCAGGCTTCAGCAGAGTGTTCATGTGATAAATGTTTGTGAGCGATTATACTTCCATGAATTTGTTTTGAAACTCAATAATTACCTGTGCAGGTGTATCTGGTTTAAAAGTTTTAGTAGGCAATCTGGTGCTTTCTTTGCTGTCTTTGAATAAACTGGACTCTTTCTGTACCCAAGCTAAAACATAAAAACAAAATGATCACATTTGGGTTAAACACAACTACATAAATTGAGCACATGATTTGTAAAAGCTGCTGCCATTACTGTATATAACATTGACAGCAAACATTACTGATAAAGACCTAAGATGAGGTACCATTCTACATATCTTCCAGGTATTACCTCATTTGACACTAATAAAGAACAAGTGAAAGCAGGAAGGCATATATTCATGCTATTGATGCACATATCAAACACTATGGGCACATTTCCATCATCAACTGGCCTACATTGGTATTGCAGGAAATAAAGATTTTGGAAGTCCTCCAATTTAGTTAAAAGAATGTTGGTTTGGGTGTGCAATATGCTAATAAGTAATTCATTGTTTTATATATAACAAGATATACACAGGGGATTGACATGGTTCCAACATTCATTCTACTGATAAGGCTCTGAGACAGGGTGTATCCAGTGTTTCAAAACTCTGCTGCCACTTCAAAAACTTGAAGGTTGTGATAATCAATGGCAGAACCTGTATCTACCTCTACCTCTGTTTCAGAGTCCTAATTCCACCACATAGTTACCTCTCTCCTCATTCTTATCTGCCATGGTGACCAAAATCTTGCTTCCTGGTAGTTCAGTTGGCTAGAAATGCTACCAATGACTCCAAACCATGAGTCTGATATCCACATATTTGGTCCCATTGGGGCAAAAAGACATGGGCATAGCTGTCTTATAAATTAAACCACAATCACAAAGGCACTAAAACCCATGACCACAGCTAAGACAAATATACATCCCCAGAGACCCAGAAACACCCCACATATAAACAACAACAACAGAATTGATGGATAGAATGAATTGGTTACATCTTCATTTTGTTTAGCTCTGTTAAGATATAATTGACAAATAAAAACTATCTATATTCAAGGGGCACACGTGATGTTTTGTTATAGGTACACATTGTAAAATGATTACCACAATCCAACCAATTAACATATCCATCACCTCACACAGTTACCTTTGTGTGTGTAGGGGGGTGGTAAGAACACTAAAGAGCTACTCTCCTTGAAAATTCCAAGTATCAATTGACCATCTTGTAACTGAAAGTTTGTGTCCTTGGCCAACACTTGCCCATTTTCTTCACCCCTGTGACCCCTGGTAACCACCCTTCTGCTCCCTGCTTCTATGAGTGTGCCTTTTCTAGATTCCATGTAAAAGCGAGATCGTGCAGTTTATGTCTGGATTATTTCACTTCACATACTGTCCTCCCAGCTAGTTTTTTATTTTAAGTAGGCTATTACCTCATATCTTCTTTTCAGTTCTCCAGTGAAGTTTTCCAAGGCTGTGATAACGGCAGAACCATCTAAGTTCTCTGGCACAATGTCTAGGTATGGAGTACAAACGTCAAACGATAAAATATTAAAGAAAACTAAAAAATGCTCAGAGTAGATGCGCTTGGTCCACCTGCGGCCCAGATGATGGTATACTTCGTCAGAAGCACAAATATGAACCAGAGATACCCTGGAGGCTGTCTGGCTGCGCTCCTGCAGCATGTCCGGCCGAGGCTGTGACCTTGCCGGTGATCACACAAGGTCATTTCATGGAACAGTCACAGGCAGGTGCCTCACGAGCCTCCCCCCCAACCTCACCCCATGGCAACTCCTCACATCATCCAAACCTTCCAAGCTCTTCAAATCAGAGCCACTGATAGGATCTCCAAGGTGTCCTGAGAGCTATGTTGGAGGACATAATGTTTAGGGCCTGTCTATGGGGTCCACCTGGCTGAACACCTTTTGGATGCCAGTCTTAGGAGGATCTGAGAAATCTGGCTCTGTTCTAGAGAAGTCACAGTCACCGACACACTCATTCCCTACAAAATCCACATGAAATAAGTTCTGCTGGGATTCACACTGAACAGAGATCATGGTACTTGTGCAAACTCACACCGGATGCTCCAGGATTCGGATCAAGCCGTCTTGAACCACTGCCCTCCAGGGCCTCTGACATGCAAATTTATCCTTTTAGAGACCTTTGTTTCAAAATACATGGTACCATTTATCCAGAAGTCTAACACCCACCATGGACATTCTAGATTATTCTCTATGGTATACATTCTATATCTCTGGTACAAATATTTAGTTAACTATGCACCAAAGCAAAGACCTAAAACTTTAGGAACCCTCAGGCCCTGAAAACTGCCAGGAAAAAAGATTTAAGGGGCAGAAATCAAAATGCTAGGAGAGCACTCTAGCATTTTGATTGTTTTTAACTGCAATTTGTGCAACAATGTGCTTGTCTCTGGAAGAACAAAATAAATGCTTAGCCTTTAGGCTCCTGAAGCTACCAGGGTCTTAAAACTGTAACTCATACAGGTACATTCCGTGCCAACACGTTCATCCCACTCCCACTTCCATAGCTGGCTGGTTTACCTGCCAAGCTGGGGGGTCCTGGAACATCACCATCTTCCAATCTTGATTGTTTGGGCTTAGCAAAACTCCCTTCTGGCGAGTCTAACAAGCAAACACAGCACATGGGTGACCTTGCACACTTTCCCTTTGTCACAAACGCATTTCGCTTCTGTTTGCCAGGTAATAGTTAAGCTTGATATCCACAAGTGGAACTCGTCCCCTGTTACTAATTGCTTATTGCTTGTACGTCACTATGCCCAGACTAAGTATCCAAGCATCAAGTCCATCAATGCCTGAAGGGGGACACATGGGAACAGGCAACCCTTTGGTGAGCTCAGATACATTTAGGAACATTGTGTTTATCAAGGTACAAACAGACTTGCAAGCTAGACAGAGCGTCCTTAATGAATCTGTAAGAGTGGGCATAAAAAGCACTTCCAGGGCTTCAGGCTAAAAAGCAAAGCGGCGCGGTTTCCAGGTCCCACTGCCCAGAGGCGCCCCCTACTGGTGACAGGGGAGCTACCGCGCTGCACTGGGGCCCCGGGTTAGTAAGGCCACCTTGGCTCCTCGCCAGCTCCAGCGATTTTGACATCCTCTGCCGATGAGACTCAGACACAGACCCGCATTTCAACACAGCACATCGCTCAATAGTTCCTATTCCAAAGTTCAGGCCCTCCCCGTCTTATCAACAGCACCCCATGGTCAACAGAGCATCAGCTCCATTCCTGTTTTTCTTGACTGTTTCTCCTCCATCATCAAAGCCTGAAGTCCTGCATAGAGATTGAACCTCCCAAATTTCTCTTACCTGAGCTCTCACAAGCAGTAAACCTGGGTTCCCAACTGATGGTCACCATCTCCACCTCCAAGCCCCCCAGTCCTGTGCCCCCTACCTGAAGCACTCTCTCTTCACCCATCCCCAAACCCACAGGTGTGAAGTTCTAGCTTCTCTCCTGTTCTTCACCTACCCTTTAGTCACTATTGGTTTTCCTTCTCTAAGTCCTGGAATGCAGTCTCAAGAATTCATGCAATGAATATTTTGTGTGACTATGTACAAGTTGTACAATGTGGTTGGCAGACAGTAAAGAGGCACTCGGCCCTTCCCTCTGCACCTGCTACCCTGGTGTCCCTGCAGGTCCCCAGACATCCCAAGTACATTCCCACCTCCAGCCCTATGTACCTGAGGTTCCTTCTGATGGATCCTCATATGCATGCCCTAAGTCTTTCTCTAGCTCCTCAATGTCAAATTTCAACACAGCCTACACATTTTAAGCCCCTTTCCCTGCTCAAGTTTTAAAATCACAATATACTATGTGCTACTTTTTAAACTGTATTTTTTCCAGAAGTTTTCAGCCCACAATTTGATAAATCCATAGATGCGGAACCCACAGATTCAGAGAGCTGACTGTGTGTACTAGACAAAAAAAAAAATAAAGTTAGTATTTTAAGATCTGGTAAGACTGCCTCTGGGGGGAGCTGTAAATATTCTAATTTTTAGAAATATCACCACAGTAAGAAACATCAGACTTCAAGGTGACAAAAGGAAAAAAATGCTGTTAAAATTATACTTACAGAATAGTCAGTGTAAAATGATTGCATGTTTTACAGTGTAACAAAAAATATATCTCTCAGAAAAATGAGTAGCCTGGGCTTAAATGTCAACTTAGATTATTTTTAACTAGAAGAAAAATAGAGTACAAAAACCTAAAAAAAATAGCAATTGAGAGAGGAAGGAGTGATCCAAAAGCAGAAAATACTAAGCAGGTAATAATTGTCAGGTAAAACAAGCCGAAAACCAAGACCAGACCAGGCCTCAACAAGCCTTTCTTACAGGGATGATCTGCCAGGCTGTCTCTGGACAAAGGAGAGACAAAGGCAATATGGCCGGGACCGGGAGTGCCTTTTATGGGAGCGGGGGTGGGGTTGAGCGAGGTCGTGGCTGGGGACCGGAGGAGCCTGTGGTGTCACTAGCTGCTAGGAGGAGAGCAAGTATTAGGTTACTCTTTTGGTGGGAGTAGGGGCATGCTGGGAAGGAGGAGGTAGCTATTATATACAGCAGCCTCCCTAAATCAGAGGGAAATCTATCAATAATAGATATATAAATTAATGACCATATGTGAATGATACTTCATAGACACCTTAGTGGATATTCTACAGTAGAACTTCCATAAATGAAAAATTCCACCAGAAATAACATCCCCATTCTATAGGATGTGCAAAAGAAAGAGCCTCTCTATAATGAAAAATAAAATGAAACTCTTAAATACTGTCAACTGTAAGAAGTACCTTATAGAAGAAGCTAGCATTTCCTTCTTCTCACTGAACAGTAGAGGTGTTCATTTCTTCGAAAAGTTTGGATAGGTATTTCGGGGGTTGCAGTGTTTCAAGGGTAGAAGACACTTTTTAAATCAAAGAAACAACCTAGGTACAGTTACATCCTACTCTTAAAACAAATAGCATTAATGCTGGAATCTGGTGTCTAAAAACCAATTAGGGTCCAAAGAAACCTTTTAGCAGGGACTCCAGGTAACCCCAACTCAGCAGTGATGAAGAACTGCATTTCCTTCCTGGCTGCCAGCCCTACCTTCCTGGGATGTTTTTCATTATTTCTTGGTGGCCAATTTGCAGCAACAGCCCAGAACATGGCTTTGAATTTGGATTTAGCAGTTTACCCCTAACCCCCAGGGTAAAGCAGTGCCTGTCCGCAGAGACGCTAGTCATAGCCAAAGAAGAGAGGAGCCAGGAGTCCTGTGTGCATATCCTGGCCAGCAGCCCCAGACAGAGTTACTTGGAATGTGTGACCCTAAGAAAAGACAGTCCAGATGGCCCACCTGGGGGTCCGGGAAAGAATTTGGCCCACTGGACTCTTCTTAGAAGCAGCACTGCTGGTAACTCATTTCGCCTGCAGTAAAGGTGTGGCTCTCTATTGAAGAACAGCACCCTCCAGAGGACCAGGACTAGAGGTCGTGGGTGACTGTTCCACTCTCTTTTCCATGGTAACTGTCTGCCTCTTTTAATGGCACTTTTCAACATTCTCACAAAAGGGTTCGTGTATATACAAATACCTCAAACACACACACATATTAAAAACACTGCGCTGACTCAGAGTCTCTGAGAACGCTGACTCCACTTTCGTGGGTGGCTGGTTCTTGCTCTACGAGAACGCACCTTTCTCCATTTTCACTGAAAACCTTTCCCATCTAGACGCTTGTGAGCTTATTTTAGTGGCCTATTGGACACACATTTTTGTGAACAGTTTGGTGTCCGTGTTCATTTGTAAACTCTAGACTTCTGATGAAAACCCATTTTGAATGCTAGAATAGAATCAGCCCTACAATGCATAGCCAAGGTCCGGGAAGTGAATGCACTTTTTAAAATCTTGCTCTAAAGTGACACCTTGTGGTACAGAATGATAGAAGCCAAAGTCTTCTCTAGGCAAGAACCCGGTTCTGTCCCAAAAGATCTGTGTGACAGTTACCGGCGTTTCACAATGCCAACTCCTTCGTCTATTCTACCAGTTTATGAAATGCTGAGGCTGTAAAAAACTACCTTTTGGATGTATCAGTGCTTTAAAAATCTGTAAATCAATTGACAATGTTAATTTGTGGCTATGTGTAGATGCATACTCAAATACGGAATCAGAGGTGTGCCATTAAATGCTAGGATTTTCTAGGTTTCTTACTCCACATGCAATTCCTCTGTGTGTCTGGCACTGTACCAGGCACTCACACCACTGAATGGAAAGAAGGTGCTATCACCTGGCTCCTTCCCGATTCCAGAGGCCCTGTAGGAGGGTAAGTGCGGAAAAATTTAAAATCATAAATAAAGTTATCCCCTCTGCTTATAATTCTGGGAGAATAACAAACATGTTCAAGCAAATATTGACTTTTGATTCAGGCTGCTGTTAGGAATCAGCAGGACATTCAAAATGGTTTAGGGCTCTGTTCTGAGGAGAAGGGCGTTGTTAGGGATGGAGCCCAGCGTCTCTTGCATGCTAAGCATGTGCTCTATGGATGAGCTACAACTCAGCTCAAAATGTTTTAAAGACCACTGCCTTCTCTGAAGGAAATTACTTGAGCATCCTCCACAGGAAAATGTTTAGCTACCTTAACTTATGTGGTTGGAAACTCCACCTGATGCCGTGATACGAAACATCTCATGTTCTATTTGACATAGTTTGCACATCCAAAAAATAATTCAAAGATATCCATTAGTAATGTTTTTTTTTAAATGAATTTATGTTTTTTCGAGTAGCCCATCATTTAAAACCTATACACCTTACGAATCATTTTTAAAATGTGGGCATTGGAGAAGGCAGTTCTGTTATGGTTTAGATTGAGTGTCCCCAGAGTCTCATGTGGATCTTTGAACAGCTGACGGAGTCAAAGGTGACCTAGCTGACTTGTTAGGGGGCGGGGTCCGGTTGGAGGAGAAGGGGCCCTGCGGGTGTGACCCGGAAGTGTATCTCTCTCTCCATGGGTCCTCCCTTCTCTCTCTTTCTGATCGCCAGGACATGAGCGGCTTTTCCTCCTCATATCCCTCCGTGGTGCCATTTTCTGCCTTGGAGCCACGCAACTACAGATTGCAAACAGGAGACAAAACAAATCTCTCCTTTTACGCTGTGGGTGTCAGGCATTGTGTCTCAGCGATGAGAAAGTGGCTAAGACAGGCTCTAATTTATCGTTTTCCTTAGAAGACAGCTCAGAGTAAAGTTGGCAGGAATGAAGAATGACGAATGCCAGGCACAGTGAAGCTGATGTTCACGGTATCAGCAGGATGGCAGCTAACACGTACATCCTCCCACAGAGGCGCGTATCAGTATGTCACGGAACTGTCTCAACTCCTAACTCTCCCTGCTACCAGTGACGTAGACTCTTCTGGAGAACCTGCCAAGGAGCAGAGCACGCTTAGCTAATAAGCAGTGCTTGCTCGCTCAGCCCAACCTAGGTTCCTGTCCTGCTCGGCCTGGAGATCAGCCTCACATTAAGGGCCCCCCAAATCCAGAGAGGGTAACGGGCCTCTCTAAGGACATGGACTCAACCTGAGACCTTAAAACTTCAACATGTCCCCAAACTGGTGCAGCACTCGTGACATGCTCTGGGCAG